CTGAAATGAAAACTACTTCAGCTAACAAGAGAATAGACATTCAGAAGAAGTGGTTAATAAAAATCACTGCTGACTTCTCACTAGAAGGTATGTAAGCCAGAAAAATGGAATGATATATTTAAAGTGCTGAAAGGTGGGGAAAAAAATCAGTCTAAAATTCTCTGCCCAGTGAAATATTTTAAAAAACAGACACAAAATGACATTTCCAGATAAGTAAAAATAGAAGTTGTCAGTATACATGCACTAAAGAAATTTTAAAAGATCTTCAGGCTGAAGGAAAATCATACTGGGTAAAAACTGAGATTTACATAAAGGAAAAAAGAAATGTTAAGAAACGGTAAATATGTGGGTCTGAAATATGTAGATTTTAAATCACACATTTCCACATAACTCGTGAATGAAGAAGTCACAAGAAACTTAAAATGTTTTGAACTGAATAATACTAGAAACATGACATATCAGAATTTGAGGGATACAGGTACTAAATTACTGAAGTAGTGCTGTATGGCTGTACATGTTTATATTAGGAAAGGAGAATAGTGTAGTCTGTGGTCTAAGTCTCCTACTTAAGAAGCAATAAAAATAATACTAAATTAAACCCAAAGCAAATAGAAGGAAAAGATGATAAAGTTTGGATATTCACAGATTATAAAACATAAAAACAATGGAGAGAATTACAAACTGCTAGCAAATTATTTAGGAAAATACTAACAGCAGGAAGAAGGAAAAATACCACTATAGGTGTTCCGGCATTGTAGAATAATTGGGGAATACAAACCATTCTCTGTATTCCCAGGCTCTTTATCTGTGTATCAAGTAACTATGAATGGAAATAGTCAAGAAAAATATAAAATAATGCAATAATAAAAAATAAGAATTAAAAAGAGTATAACAATTGTTTGTATTAGGTATTATAAGCAATATTTACATTGTATTAGATATAAGCAATCTAGAAATCAAAGTATACAATAGAGTATATGTAGCTTATATGCACATGCACGTCATTTTATATAAGGGACTTGACCATTTCCACAGATTTTGGTATCCTCAGGGGATCGTGGAACCAATCCTCCATGGATACTAAGGGATCACTGTATAATGAACAACTACATGCCAATAAATTCAACAATTTAAGCTACATAGGCTAATCGACCAAACTGACACAATGAGAAATAGAAAACCTGAAAAACCTTATGTTAAAAAGAAAAATTAATAATTATAAACTTTCCCACATAGAAAACTTGTGACCCAGATGGCTTCACTGATTAATTTTATTGAAACTCAAGGAATAAATCATTCCAGTCCTACATAAACTCCTTCAGAAAATCAAGGAGGAAGGAATACTTCTCATTTTATGAGGGTAGCATTAGCTTGATTCCAAAACCAAATATGACAAGAAAACAGCAGATCCATATCTTCTTTGACTATAGATACAAAGAGAAATCCTAAATGAAGTAGCAAATAGGGTCTAGCAAACTGTAAAAATTCATCATGACCAAATGAGTTCATACCAGGAGGTCAAAACAAAGATGTAAGTTTGTGATGTCGACAAGTAATTAGTACCAAGAGAAATTACATTCAAAACCACTTAAGTTTAAATAGCTTGTACTTATTTCTTTTAGCAAGCTTAAGTGGTGGCTGAAAGCAAGCAAGGATGGGAATTGAAGTCACAATGCTACCTTTCTGGGGAATGAGTGATCTCTCACTGACCAGTTGGTCTCCACTCACCAATGTCTTTGATCTTTACTAGAGACAGGGACCCCACATTATGGTCAGCATGTGGTGGTCTGTGATCAGTTTTGCATACTTTAGAAAGATTCAGGGAGTCAATGGCAGACCAGGCTTTTATATGCTAACTGGGGAGTTGGGACACTCTGAATATGCTGGTGCATTAGTTATATGCTAATTGGTTACACTGTAAGTTATGTAAACCATTAACATTGATTATATAAGTTGTTTACATAAAATGTTTGACTTTGGGGTATAACATGTTGATCTTGTTTGAGCAAGTTAGCCATATATTTATCTGTAACATCTTAATTATTAACAATCTTACTTTTTTTAGAAAAACATGTTTTCTAGGAAGGAAACATTTTTGTTTACCACTTATAAGCATAGCAAACATGTTTTATTCCTCCTATTAAAATGTAGGATAAGTTACCCTCTACAGAAAATTTATTTCAGGCCGGGCTTGCTGGCTCATGCCTGTAATCCAAGCACTTTGGGGGCCGAGGCGGGTAGATCACTTGAGGACAGGAGTTGAAGCCCAGCTTAGCCAATGTAGTGAAACCCTGTGCCTACTAAAAATACAAACAATTAGCTGGGTGTGGTGGTACATGCCTGTAATCTCAGCTACCCAGGAGGCTGAGGCACAAGAATCACTTGAACCTGGGAGGTGGAGGTTGCAGTGAGGAGAGATCGCACCACTATACTCCAGCCTGGGCGACAGACCAAAACTCTGTCTCAAAAAAAAAAAGAAAATTTATTTCATATATCACAAAGCGTCCGATGTGATTTGGTTTACTTAAATTTAATCTGGTATTGCTATTTTTCTATATGAGTATAATTTAGTGTAGTATATGAACATAACAATGATTTTTATAATCCTAACTTGAGTATCAGAATATCTTTACCAGAAGTACAATAATATGAGTTCTATGACATTTTTTTCTGTTATATTTCATTATTCACTAATCATCAATATTATAGCCAAACCAAATTGCATATTATAGGGGAATTTTCCTACTGGAGCAATACTTAATGTTTAAGATCATCTTTGATTGCCCTATGCTTACTTCTAGGCCATACTTCTGCAAGTCCTATCAACTTTAAAATGAACCTTGAATCTGTCCTTTTATCTACATATCTTTGTCTCCCCTCCCCTTCCCAGTCAAAGCCATTTTTATATTCAGTGTTTTAGAATAGGCTATATTTAGTGTTACAAATTAGCGTCCTAATCTCAGTGGTTTCACACAGCAGAGGTGTACTGCGGCTTACATAAAGTCCAGTGTGATCTAGGCTATTCTCCTCCTCCATTTTGTAGCTATATTATCTGCACTCATGGTTTTGAAGATCCTCAGGTGACCTGGAAATGACAATGTCACTTTTGCTTATAGCCCATTTGGTCAGAACTAGTCAAATGGCTCCAACGTAAATGCATAAGCCTGGGAAGTGTAGGGTGGCACGTGAAATATTTGGAGATCACAATGATCTGTACCACACCCAGATTATTATAGGTAACATCTTAGTTGTTTTCCTTACTTTCTTTCATTTCCTACTACAGTGCTTTCTCCACCTAGTAGCCAAAGTTCTTGGAAAAAAAGATTGTTACCACCTTCCCAGTAGTTTCCACTTTGTTTTAAAATCCAAACATTTTATCCTCACCTGTGCAAAATACTACGTGCTAGGGCACTTGCCTTCTCTAATTTCATGATTGGCATTTAGTGTTGCTAACTGTTATCTATGAATAGTGTATTTTGAATAGGCATTTTATTTTGTCCACAGTTATGAAAATGTGATTTTTAAGTGTCAAATTTATGAAACCACAGTAATGACTATAAACAATACATAATAATACCAAGAGAAATCATCAATCATATGGTGTCTTTAATCACATTGTATGCAATTAGAATCCTTAAAAACAGCAGCCTTTCAGAAACATTGATATAATGTAAGATCCTGTTATAGTGAATGAATTCTATATAGCAAAGCCATAATAATTGTGTTCTGTTTATCTGACAGCAAATGATCTCTTAGAATAAATATTTTCTCCGATTAAAGATTATTTGAAAGATATTCCATTATGGTCCAGTGCATTTTAAAAAATTAATAAACTATTTTTTAGAGCAGTTTTAGGTTCACAGCAAAACTGAGTGGGAAATACAAAGAGTTCCCACATATTCCCTGTTCCCACACACTACAAACGCACAACCTTTCCCACTGTTAATATCCCACACCAGAGTGGTGTATTTGTTACAATTGATGAACCTACATTAACACGTCATTGTCACCTAGAGGTCATTATTTACATTAGTCTTCACTCTTGGTGTTCTACAGTCAGTGGGTTTTGACAATAAATGAATTTTTAGATAAGTTTTTTATAAAGTTTATATGTTGTCATTAAGTCATTGTTGCCCTACAGTTATATCTTCAGTTTCTGTCAGTTTTTTTTTTTTTTTTTTTTTGTGGCAATCTGCATCTCCTAATTAAATATCGCACACATATGCCACCCATAATCCCCAATAATTTTTCTCTAGCTGTAGTGCTCTTGCCAAATGACAGAGGTACTAGGAGGAGCTAGGAATCAACCCTTATTTTTAAATATGCATGAAAGAAAGGCTTTATATAAATTCTTTGTGATCTCTAGGTTGTGAATCCTAGGAATCAGATTTTTAATGAACTGTTTATCTTAACAAATATTTTAAGGTCTATATATTTGGTATGCTTATTTGAAATGTAGCAGAGCATTTATATTTTTTATAATTTTTGATGGTTTTTAAAAAATGATTTAAGTAGTTAGCTAATAATGATGCCTATTTTAGCAAATAAAAATTACTTATAGTAAAATTGAATATGCTGCAGTTTATTACACGGACTTAGATTTAGCACCATTCAAATGGATTGTTTGGTACTTGACATCTACTTACATGTAAGTTTTATGTAACAGTTTTTACATGGTGTTTGCATTGTCATTCACGTTTCCTTTTGCTGATTTATCCCTGTTTAAGACCTTCTGCACTGATAAAGAATTGAGTAGCAGAGGAATTATCCTACTACAGGGTATGTAATATTTAATGAAAACGGGTATTTGTGGGGTGGAAAGGTAAGAAAATTAAATCTTTTTCTTTGATAAGAAGTCAATCTGCCATTCTGTCTTCCTGTAATTACATGTTGTAGAAAGGAAATTTGCTTTTATTATGGGAGTTAAGGAATTATTAAGCAGTGTCTGTGAAACTTGATTGCTTTTGTACTTTGAGTAACAGCGTTCGTTTTGTTCACAGTAACTGTAGTACTGAATGGAAGTGGCTTGTAGACAGAGCACGAGTTGGCAGCCGATGGACTTGGCTTCAAGCCCAGATTTCAGACCTAGAATGCAAAATCCAACAACTAACAGACATTCACAGGCAAATTCGTGCCTCCAAGGTATTGTCTGTCTGTGTTCTTCTACTTTTGTTGAAAATTGTTAATGTTTTCATTCCTTCTCATTTCATCACAAAAATAATTGTTACAAGGTTTTATAAGAATGTAGCCAGTTTATGTCAAAATGTTTGGTATATTAGTTATTATAAATTGAAGCTATCTTTGTAATGGCTTTTTGTAGTTGAGATCATTTTATCATACTTTTTGAGCAATTCAGAATTTCCTTATTGGATTCCAGTTAATGTAAGTGATAAACTTGTTTTCAGAGTTCTAAATCATAAAATACATATAACAAAAACCTTACCATCTTAACCATTTTTGAGTGTATAGTTGTTATTAAATACATTCGTAATGTTATTCATGTGTCACTCTCCATCTCCATAACTCTTTTTACCTTTTAGAACTGAAGCTCTGTACCCATTAAATAATAACTACCCACTTTCCTCTCTCCTCAACCCCTGGCAACTATGTCTGTCTCTTATGATTTTGACTATTTTAAGTACCTCATATAAGCAGAATCATAACAGTTTTTGTCTTTTTGTGGCTAGCTTATTTCACTAGCATAATGTTCTCAAGTTTCATAAATATTGTAGCATATATTAGAATTTCTTTCCTTTTTAAGATTAGTAATTTATTGTATGTATATACCACATTTTGCTTATTCAGTCATCCGTTGATGGACACTTGGGTTGCTTCCAGTTTTTAGCTATTGTGAGTATGCTGTGAACATGGATATTAAAATATCTCTTTGAGACGCTGTTTTCAATTCTTTGGGGTAAACACCCACAAGTGGAATTGCTGGATCATATGGTAACTCTATTTTTAATTTTTTTGTGAATCTACCATACTGTTTTTCACAGTGGCTATACCAGTTAACATTTCCACCAGCAGTACACAAGGTTCAAATTTCTCCAGATTCTTGCTAACATTTATTTTCTGTTTATTTTATAGTAACCATCCTAATGAGTGTGAGATGGTATCTCATTTTACTTTTGATTTGCATTTGCCTAATGATTAGTGATGTTGAACATCATTTCATGTGTTACTGGCTTGGCTTTTGGATATCTTCTTTGGGGAAGTACTTATTCAAGTCCTTTGCGCATTTTTGAATGGGGTTGCTTGCTTGTTTATTTTCTTGTTGCGTTTTAATTCTATATGTATTGTGGATATTAATTTCTTATCAGATATATGATTTATAAATATTTTTCCTATTCTGTGTGTTGCTTTTTTTTTTTGAGGCAGAGTCTTGTTCTGTCACCCGGGATGGAGTACAGTAGTGTGATCACTGCTCACTGCAGCCTTGACCTCCCAGGCTCAAGCAATCCTTCCACCTCAGACTCCCAAGTAGCTGAGACTAGAGGCTCGTGCCACCATGACTGGCTAAGTTTTTGATTTTTTGTAGAGATGGGATCTCCCTCTGTTGCCCAGGCTGGTCTTGAACTCTAGACTCAAATGATCCCCGAACCTCGGCCTCTCAAAAAGTGCTGGTATAACAAATGTGAGCTCCTGTGCTCAGCCTTGTTCATTGCATTTTTACTCTGTTGATATTATCTTTTCCTGCCCAAATTTTCGAAATTTTTCTGAAGTCCCATTTGTCTACTTTTTCTTTTATTACCTATGCCCTTGATGTCATATCTAAGAAATCATTGCTAAATCTAATGTCATGAAGCACTTACCCTATATTTCTTCTTAGGGTTTTATAGTTTTAGGTTTTACATTGAGGCCTTTGATCCGTTTTGTGTTAATTTTTGTGTATGGTGTTAGGTAAGGGTCCAGTTTCATTCGTTTTCATTCAGATACTCAGGTTTACCTGGTTGAAAAGACTGTTTTTCCATTGAATGGCCTTGGATTGGAACCTTTGTCAAAAAACATTTGACAATATGTGTTAGGATTTATTTCCGGGTTGTCTATTCTATCCCATTGGGATATAGGTCTGTCTTTATGCCAGTACCACATGGGTTTTTTTGTTTTTGGTTTTTAATTTCTTTTCTTCTTTTTTTTTTAAATAGAGACAGAGTTTCCCTATATTCAAGACGAGGCTGGTCTTGAACTCCTGGGTTCAGGCCATCCTCTCACCTCAGCCTCCTAAAGTGCTAGGATTATAGGCATGAGCCACCATGCCTGGCCAGTATCACATTGTTTTGATTTCTGTAGTTTTGTAGTAATTTTTGAAATCAGGACATGTGAGTCTTCCAGATTTGTTATTTGTTTATATATATTTTTGAGATAGAGTCTCAGTATGTTGCCAAGGCTGGAGTGCAATGGCATGACATGAGCTCACTGCAACCTCCACCTTCCAGGCTCAAGTGATTTTCATGCCTCAGCCTCCTGAGTAGCTGGGATTACAGGCATGCACCACCATACCCAGCTAATTTTTGTGTTTTTAGTAGAGACGGGATTTCGCCATGTTGGCCAGGCTAGTCTTGAACTCCTGGCCTCAAAGTGATCTGCCTGCCTCAGCATCCCAAAGTGCTGGGATTACAGGCGTGAGCCACCGAGCCCAACTCTAGATTTGTTTTTGTTGTTGTTGTTGTTGTTGTTGTTGTTTTTGATGTTGTGTTGGCTTTGAGGTCTCATGAGATTTTGTATGACCTTTAGGATAAGTTTTTTCTGTCTATAAAAAGAGTTGTGGAGATTTAGATAGGGATGCACTGAAACTCTAGATTGCTTTGAGTAGTTTTGACATCTTAACAACATTAAATCTTTCAATCCATGAGTGTGGGTTGTGTTTCCATTTATTTATATCTTCTTTAATTTATTTCAGCAATGTTTTGTAGTTTGTACAAGTCTATCAACTCCTTGGTTATTTATTATATTCTGAAGTGTTTTACTCTTTTTGATTCTCTTGTAAATATAATTGTTTTTGTGACTTTCTTTGCAGATTGTTCATTGTTAGTATATAGAAATGCACCTGACTTCTGTGTCATGCCACTCACTCCTGACCTGTAAGGTTTCCCACTGAAAAGTCTGCTACCAGACATATTGGAGCTCCATTGTATATTGTTTCTTTTCTTGCTACTTTTTGAATCCTTTCTTTATTCCTTCCCTTTGGGAGTTTGATTATTCAAACTACTTGAGGTAGTTTTCTTTGGATTAAATTTTCTTGGTGCCCTATAACCTTCTTGTACTTGAATATTGATATCTTACTCTAGATTTGGGAAGTTCTTTGTTATTATCCATTTGAATATATTTTCTATGCTGATCTCTTTCTCTTCCTCCTCTTTAAGGCCAGTATCTTAGGTTTGCCCTTTTGAGGGTATTTTTTGGATCTGGTAAGTGTGCTTTATTATTTTTTATTCTTTTTTCCTTTGTCTCTTCTGACGGTATATTTTCACATATCCTGTCTTCAAGCTCACTAATTTTCTTCTTTTTGGTTAATCCTGTTGTTAAGAGACTCTATCTAGTACAGTCTTCAGAATGTCAAGTGCATTTTTCAGCTGCAGAATTTCTGCTTGTTTCTTTTCAACTGTTTCAGTTTCTTTATTAAATTTATCTGATAGGATTCTGAATTCCTTCTCGTGTTACCTTAGATTTCATTGAGCTTTCTCAAAACAGCTATTTTCAGTTCTCTGTCTGAAAGATCACATATCCCTGTCTCTCTGGCATTGGTCTTTGGTGCCCTATTTAGTCCATTTGATGAGGCCATGTGTTCCTGGGTGTTCTGTATACTCGTAGATGTTCATCTGTGTCTGGACATTGAAAAGTTAGGTATTTATTAGTCTTTGCAGTGTACACTAATTTGTACCAGTCCTTCTTGAGAATGCTTTCCAGATATTCAAACAGGCTTGGGTGTTGTGATCTAAGTCATTGGTCACTGCAGTCATATCCCCAACTTTAGTAACGCTGCATCTTTTGTAGACTCATAGAGGTACTACCTCAGTAGTCTCGGGTAAGATCCAAAAGCATTCTCTGGATTACCAGTCAGAGACTCTTGTTCTCTTCCCTTGCTTTCCCCCAGGGAAACATAGTCTCACCCTCTGTACTGAGCTGCTTGGAGCTAGGAGAGGCATGACACAAGGACCACTGGGACTACACAGGGTCAGATCCGAAGACAGCACAGCACTGGTCTCACCTAAGGCCCACAATGACCACTACCTGGCTATCGTCTGTGTCTCCTCAAGGCCCAAAGGTTCTATCATCAGCAGGTGGCAAATCCACTCAGGCTTGTGTCCTTCCCTTAAGGGTGGCAAGTTCTCCCTAGCCCCAGGTGGGTCTAGAGATGCCATCTTGGGCCTCCACCTGGTGCTGTATTCTACTGCAGCTGAACTGACACCCAAGTCACAAGACAAAGTCCTCCCTACCCTTCCTTCCTCTTTCCTCAAGGAGAGCAGTCCCTCCCCATGGCCACCACTGCCCCAGGGCCACAGCAAGTAGTGCCTCTCTATGGCCAGTGTTTACTAAAGGCCCAAGACTTCTTCATTCAGCTTTTGGTGAATGCTGCCAGTCCTGAGTCTCTCCCTTCAGGACAGTGGGTTCCCCTCTGGACCGGGGTAGGTCCAGAAATGCTTGGTGCTTTACCCCACTGTGGCCAAGCTGGTAACCAAGCTGACTTTTAGTTCTTACAAAGATGCTCTTTTATGTGGCTAGTGTTCAATTTGGTGTTCCTATGTTGGGAGGTAGTGGGGGTACAGTTGCTGGAGTCTTCTATTCAGCCATCTTGTTCTGCCTCCCCTCTCTCATGCTATTTTTATGGCAACATTTTTATTAGAATAGATTTAGGGGTAGATATTGGTATTAACAGGTGATTGGTAGAAGGAAAGGAGAGTTTTGGAAAGTTCTTGGGCATGTGCAGTTATCGCTTCATGCTAACTCATGGGTTGCATCAAGGGGGTGTTAATACGAAACATGCAGTGGAAATTTAGGCTGTGATGTCAGTAAGGTCATTCTGTGCAAACTCTTGGTTTTAACTGATTTTTGCCAGTTTATTCGTGTTCTCACAAGGTTAGAGAGTTTTGGCGTCTTAGTGGGTTATGTCTTTAATTATCTGCTATCCTACAAACTCA